AACATCAGTCAGACAAAAAGTATTTTTATGGCTGATTGAATGACAAGTATTTGCATAATAGCAGGCTTGCTTATCACTTACAAACCAAATTATTTGAGTAAGAAACTGGCTAAACCAGTATTTCATATTTGCTTTAATATAGGACTTTTCAGCTGCCAAGTGGCTGCTGTTTTGTTTACAATCAGTTTCCACTAATCATATACACATACAGTAATGATGCAAGTCCAGTTCAATTTGCCCAAAATTTTAGAGGGCTCTGGCAGCTGATTCGGTGCCGTTGCAATCTGAGCTGCATGCAATGCTTTTTAACGGGCTCACCTAACCCCACCCCTAACTCTACCCGTCACAGTGACGTCCCTAGCTACATTAAGTGCATTGTGTCTCAGCTTGCATCGTAAAGGCTGCATCCTACTGCAAAATTTTGAAAGCAGTCAGATGTAGGCATAAGGTGGATCTCATTTATAAATGTGCCATATGTACAAAACAGGCGTGGAAAGTTTGCAATCTATAAAAAACAAACTTGAAGAGAGAATGTTTTAACTTCAATATTGCCTTAACTGAACATCTTTAAATCATCATATGAGCCCTAATAACCAGTAATAGAGTTAAAAAGATTAAATGAGAATAAGATTAAATTACACACGGATGTGCTTCAACTAATTTTTTGAAAGTTAAATCTGATATTTCGTAACCTGCTCATCAACTAATCTTAACAAATCTTAAGTTTGGGATTAGCTATGATCGTTGAAATAATTTTCAGCATTAATATAAACATTAATTACAACATACTACTCTCAGAAAAAAGCTACATGGTACAAATAATTTCCTTAAGGAACAGTTTTGTACCTTTGTAAAAGTTGTACCTTATGGTAAAGAAAAGACCTCTTATGATACTGCTCTGTACCTGTTATGGTAAAGTTATTTTAATAATAATTTCTATATTAAAACATAAATCATCATTTAAAAGCATAAAAAATCATAAACAAAAATTATTTAGTTCTATAATACAAAACAACAAAACTATAGGTATTGTAAATTAAACATTTAAGGCATTTTTAATAAACATTTGGTAAACATTTTCTGATAAATACATTTTCATTATTGATATCTGCATCTTTTGGCGTTTGCTTACCACTACGCATGTGAGCTGGCAAAAGTCCTGCATGTGCAAGTGTTCATGCAGACATTTCAGTATTAATCAAACATTGTACATATCTCGTTACAATACTTTTGCATAATTATATTTCTATTTTAAAAATAAGTAAATTCAATTAACTTTTAAGTAAATACAAAGATATTGTGTAAAATCATGTCCTTAAAGGTACAAACTGCAATGGTACAAAAATGTTTCTTTATCTTAAGGTACAATTCTGTTCCATAAAATGTTCTGCCCCAGTGACAAGGGTTTGTACCTTCTTTGGTACAAAATTTTAATGAAATGTTTTCTGCCTAATTGTGAAACAAATATTTCTGTAAAATGTAGCCTTTGCATGACCATAATGCAGTAGTTCTATTATAATACTATTAATACTACTATTAATAATATTTAAAAAAAAAAAAATTGTAACTACTTCTTTTTATTTTCCTGTTGTCAGCATGAAATATCTACATATTTTTTTCTTTTTAAAATGTCGCACACTGTAGCCATAAAAAACTACATTATTTTTCTTTTCTTTACATCATACAAGAACCTTGATTTTTGTTTCTAACAAATTGTTTCTTGGCACCACTCTATATTTTTACATGACTGAGAAAAGACAGTGATGTGCATTGACTGTTCATTGTTGAAAGTTAATGTGTAAAGAGCACAAGATACGACTTTTCCATGTACACAAATTTTAATTTTGTAAATTGAAAGTTACACAAAGATGTACATACACAAAATTGTATTAATCTCACAGATTTGCATTTGCCATTTTCAGCATTCTGTCATACATTCACTTTTAGAAAGGTTTCTACATAAAGTTTTATAAATGAGACCACAAGACTGTAAGCATCTGATTCATGACCATATCAATGCATCTTTACTCAGGGATGGGCAGCCGAAGCCACTTCACTGTTGTTCATTCATTTATTCATTTTCCTTTGTCTTAGCTCTTTTATTCATCAGGGGTCGCCACAGCGGAATGAATCACCAACTTTACTGTACTGGGAAACACATTCACATGAACACACAGACACTACAGGTGATTTAGTATTTTTAATTCACCTAGGAAACCCACGCTAACATGGGAAGAACATGCAAACTCCACACAGAAATACCAACTCGTCTAGCCAGGACTTGAACCAGTGACCTTCTTGCTGTGCGGCCAAAGTGCTAACCACTCAGCCACCGTGTTATCCCTCCACTGTTGTACTAGTGCTCATATCATCACACCAACAAACACAAGATCTGTGTCTTCATCAAAAGGCATATGTAAGAAAGTATTGCCATTATCCATTGCTAACATACTCAAGATCATCTGAACATAAAAGCCCTTTGTTTTCTATGAATAGGTGCATTATGGATAGTTTGCATTTGCGCATTTCAGGTCAGAAAGAGCCAGTTGTAAGCCTCTCGCAAGTAGGTTTGTTAAAAATGAATAGATTGCGCCACATATAACTGCTAAATTATTGTACACTTTTTCACTTTACATTGTTAATTTTTGCTTTATATGTTAAACGGTTGGTTGTGCTTGCTACTGCTCAGTTTGATGACAACATTTATATAACAAATAAAAGTTTTGTATTGTCAGTGTGCCAAAAATAAAACCCACTGACTAACAAAAGACTTCAAATTCTTTCAAATGAAACAGGAAACTTACATTCTGCTCTTGTGAGGCAGTTGTTATATGTATTTGTTATTCTTTCTGTTCCACTTTCATGTACAGCCATTTTTAAGCATGTAGAGTGAGGCAACCTAAACAAACAAATAAATACTGTTTAAGACGTTCAGTAAGGAAATGTTTACATAACTCTTTCAAACTCTTCCTTTTCCTGCACTCAGCAGGATGCAACTGAATGTGGTTTGCGTCATCACTGACATTCACAAGGGCATTTAGACAGAATGATTTTTTTTGTTTACAATGGTTCCTTCTAGTGACAATATTATATTTTTTATGTAGTAGTTTGCTTATATGGGCGACAGATAAGTACCTGAACAGTTTAATAAACTAATTATACTTCATGGATTTGAAGAGCACAGATGACACAAAAATAAAAATAAAACTGAATGAATATACTTTGATATAATGGTGGACCATTCATTAAATATGTTCCTGTTAGAACACTCTTGTTTGCCTCCTGGTGCTTATGACGGTTTGTTTTCACTTGTCTTATTTACACAGATGCTTTCTGGCCTGAGCATCCTTAACCCCCAAGAGAGCTTTGATAAATGTCACATTAACCCACTTTGAGTATTCAAAAAAGTTTTGCATAACTGCCATTTCATTGAATTTAACATACAGTTACCTTTTAACTTGTTGACTTATACAAGTAAGTTCCCAACAGTACTAGTGTCAGTACATTTAGGGTGAAGTCATAAATCTTTATAATTTTATTGTACAGTTTCACAGGCCCAAGTTATAGGTTGTGAAACATGGTGCTCTCAGGACAATTCTTTTTTTTCCTTCTGATATGTGTACTCATTAGTTTTTGTTCACTGTGAGTGAGTGCACTTCACACACAATTGTTGACCCAAATAATTTTAACCATCCTAAGCAAACTGAAATGTGGTAACATTAGTCTGTCTATCCCTATGTCAATGGCTAAATGTTACCAATATTCTTTCAACCTCCAAGCCCATTTTAAAATTTGTGTCTAACAAAAAAAAAAAAAAAAGGAAACTCATAAAGATTCTCAAACATTGTATTTATTTAGCTGCTGTAAGTTCACCCAAAACTGAAAATTTGTTCATCATTTATTAACCACTACTCACCAAGTGGGTTAACTTGTCACAAATCTGTTTAGTGTTTCTTTCTTCTCTTGGACATAAAAGTGTTTAAACAATTATTTTTTAAAAATGTTGGGTATCTGTGTTCAGTGTCAATGTAACTCACGGATTTTTAAAATAGTTTTTTTTTTTTTTCAAAGTAACTACTTTTTTAAGTTCAACAAAAAAGACATGTCAAAAATATTGGAATCACTTGAGGCTAGAAACTCCTTTTTGGTTGGACCGTCCCTTTAAACAGGCTATATCAGAAATTATGTTTTCAGTCTCACATAGACTTGTATATTACAGTGATGAGGGGGAAGAAAACACAAACCCGTCTTCGTCAAATTTGCGTGCTGAATGAGACCAGCATGAGAATGTGCTTCAGAATTGGAATCTCCCTTTAAATAAACTCCGCCCCGAAATCAGTCGATCAAATTCGGCATCGCGCTTCTGAGCCGTCGACCAATCAAGGCCGTACGGGGGTGGTCTTACAACGGTGGTCCGGGACGACGTCACCCAATAGAATCGCGAGCTCATCGGACAAAAGCAATGCGACAATCATTGCTTTCCTAGTGAGCCGCCCATTATTCATGTTCATTCACTAATGATTTAAGGAGACACGACAGGATATAGCGGAACGCGAAAACCTAACGGTCTCAAAGCTAATGACTGTACAAACATAAAACGCCATGCTGAGCAGTCATGACTGTTCTCTTACGTTTGTCAACGCAGTTTTTTTGTTGTTGTTTGTATGACAATTTAGCATATAACTGTACTTGTATTCAAACAAAAAAACTTCACGAACCGCCCAAATTAAACGAATATCCGGAAATCAAGCGTAACATAAACGCAACACAAAGTCTTAGCAGTTTAAAAATGATGAAATATGAAAAAATATGCTCTGATCCGTAAAAACACGCATTAACCATTACATTTGAAGCAGAACGGTAAAACTATGCTAACTTATTTACTTATGGCTTGCCTAAACATTCGTCTTGAAAACCCCTTTAAATCGTGACCTCAGCTAAGAGGGCGGTTTAACACGCCCCTCGCTCCAAAAAGTGGTTTCTCATGCGTGACTGTCTCATTTAAATGTAGTGAGGGAGGAAAAGACCTATGCTCCCTTTACGTTAGAGCTGATAGTCTCTTATCTGAGCATCCGAGAAATACTCCCGTTAATCGCACATCATTGCCGACGTCCTAATGATAGATAGAGGAAAACGATTCAAGCTGTGAGACTATCAGGAAAAAGGAAACATACTAGGACATTCTGTGGTAGAAGTTCTGAATTAGAGACAAAAATTTGTATTTTTTTTATTTTTATACAAACAGGCCAGTTTAAAACGATTAAAAATGACTAGAAGATCTTGTACTATTTACGCCACAGGGATTGTGTGCGCTCATTTGCTAATTTTGGGAATCGCCCTTCTGCTGGCTCAAGTCTTCCAAACAATGATCCAAGAACGGATAAAAAAGGTAAGTCTTTTCTGGAAAGAAGTGTCAATGTTAAACCTGTTTAATCATGTAACGGTACAACGCTTTTGCTTTGCTTTTCAAATCGACTTTTAAGGTGGTTCAGTAATGGTACGGTAGTGCTGTCTAAATGAGGTGTTCTGTGTTTAAGCTTTAACATTACGCTGACACTGCTAACATTGCGAAATCATATCACAAGCTAAATCTTGTCATTTATCTATCATAAGACGATCCTTGAAATAGTTCTCTTTTTTACCAGAAAGACAAGTTGTTCATTCAAACTGAGACACCGACTACACAATCATGTTACGTACAGGGGACACCGGCTTTTTACGTTAGCAGTTTAATTGCCCTTTCTTGCCGTGCAGATAGTGAAAAATATATATGGTTATTACATTAACATGATCAAATCACGGGTTTGTTAGTAAACCAGACTAAAGTGTGCTGGTTGTTTTGTGTGACCGAAGCCCATCATATTGCGGAATATATATATATATATATATATATATATATATATATATATATATATATATATATATATATATATATATATTATGTGTATGAGAGAGAGCGTATAAATATGGCAGGGGGATGTGTGCTATGTGTGTTTGTGGGGGAGGGTCTCGGTGTGGTCTGTTCTCCTTGGGGAAAAAATACTTGGAATTCTGACCTCCTCCCTCAGTATTTTTAACCAATGTGATACTCTTATTCTGGAAATCACGAGTTTGTGGATTTGGTGGTCTTTGGGAGAAGTTACTTTGCAGTGCATTTGAAGCTTCATGTTCAAACTCTCTTGACTGACTGAGACGTATGTTAGTGTGGAGTCAGGCTAAGTGTAGACACCGTTTTTTGAACCCTCAGGTTGTATGTGTGTTTTAAGTAACTTAGGGCGTGGAGTTGAGGTAATGGTGGTTTTATCAGTCGCACATTCATTCAGTGACAACTTGTGACATACTCTATTGTTTATCATGACACTTTCATTATTCGGCCTAAAACTACGTATGACTTCAAAACAACATTAGCACTATTTATTTTACTGTGAACAATGCTGTTCTTTGACAGTCAATGGCTGCTAATATGACTTTATAAATTTAATTATTAATATTATTTAGGAGAAAGTTTGAATGTGTGAATATAAAACCCACTTTGCCTCAAAGGGCGTGGAGTGGGGTGACCTGTTTAAGGAGTTAGTGTATGTGACTGTTGCTCAGAGGCAGTTATTCTGTTAAGCGTTGTATGTCTCCTGGCAGTTAAATCTTCTTTTAATTGCTGCTTTTAGTGAAGGTTTAGCCAAACTGAAAGCAGCCATCTTATGAATTTATGTTTTTGTTGAATTCTTGTTAGCACATAATTAATTTTTAAACTGTTCCTGGCAGTGTCAAAAAGCTATCCAATATTATACCATATGCAGACAACACTGATATTTAATCATGTGTGTAAAGGACTAATTTATTTTGTGTGTGTGTTGTTCTACCTTGACTTCTGTTGCTCAATCAAGGCTTTGAAAATGTTTTGACATGGGTTGATGTCCATTAGAACCTTCAAAGGCAGTTTTCAAGGATTATTGTTTAACCTCTGGATATCTTGTGTGTGATTTATTTTAAAACACGTAGTAATGTTCTAAATGAATCTCTGAAAAACAATTTAGTTTTCAGCATGTTTCATTGTTCGCTTTTTTTTTTGTGTGGAATACAGAAAATGTCTTGACAAAGCATACAAGAATCCCTGAAAAGATTAGAAAAAAGAGTCAATGGGTGTGATGCAACATGATCTTACTCAAAAGAACAGCTTTAGCCTGATTTCAGTACACATGGTTGAACAAGTTGAATAGATTTAGATTTGTTTCTCTATTCTGATGTTGTGGTAAAGCATAGGGCTACTCCTTATGACAGACATGCCATTTATAACTTACATTTAACTCTTAGTTAGATGATCTGACCTGAACTCATTTTTGTGTCATTCACTAGACTCCAATAGTGTGAATAAATGCAGTTTTGTGTTTAAAACCTTTTGGATTGAAAGATTGTGGCATGTTGTAATAATTTATAAAAAAAAAAACTGTTTTACCTCTAAATGTGATCATTCACTTAACCTAAAATACTGTCATTATTTACTCATACTTTACTTATTCTAAACCTGTTTGATTTTCTTCTGTTGAACGGAAAATATATTTTAAATAAAGCAAGAAACCTTTAACCATTGACCCCATAGTATAAGGTTTTCCTTTTACTATGTAAGTCATAAGTTACAAGTTTCGCATTTGGTAAAATAGAGGAGCTGAAGAAAGAAACTCAAAGTTTTGAACAACTTGAGGGTGATTAAATTGTGGGTAAACAACTTTTTGGATCTCTTTAAGGCCCATCTTTATCCATCTGGTTAGTTATTCTAGCGAATCATTACTCTCTGAAGGCACAGCTCTTATAAGCAAAAGGGCTCAGTGTTGTTTTGAAGTTAGTGCTCTGAAACACTGCTGAAGTCATGGCTTTTGATTCCTGATAGTGTTATCTGCATTTCAAAGCAACATTCTTTAGTAAAAAAAACTTTTCTTGGTTTGTCACAAGTTACCTTTTTGAGCTACTTTACACAATTGTAAACTAGTCATCAGTATTATTTTTCTCTCTTAGTTGTTCTCTAAAGTCCAGTAACGACACAAGATGTGAGAAGTAGAAACGCTGAACGTACTTTTTGATGGAAAGTTCAAATACCAAAGAAATGTTTGTTTGTGCTGCTCCAATGCCATGGATGCGCTGATGTTGATGTTTTTCTTCCTCTTCTGTAATTGAATCAGCTTGACTGTCTGCTGAGGTCTTTCCTCTTTTTTTAACCCCAAATCATCCCAGCTCTCAGTTAACTTCATGTCTGCTGTATTTCTATCATAGTCATTGACCTTTCACCTGAAACTTAGTCAGCATCTAACTGGAAGGCACTCAGCTTTTGTGTTCTTTCTTCCCTAATTTACAATAAAATTCAGCTTAGATGGCGAGTTTATCTATGTCTGTGTTTGGTTACAGGAGATCACGCTGGCTGAGAACAGCAGAGTATTGGATGGATGGATAAATCCACCACCTCCTGTTTACATGCAGTATTTCTTCTTCAATGTTACCAATCCCGATGAGTTCTTGGCGGGGAAGGAAAAGGCCAAAGTTACTCAGATGGGGCCATATACCTACAGGTGACTGACAAAAGCAGTTCTTCATTTTCATAATTCTGGCCTGAATTAAATGTTTGTTTTCTGACCAGTGCTTTCTGTTATATTGTAACAATACAAAAATTTTTACTTTCATATGATACCTTAATAAAATATCATGATGCTAATTCTAAACCAATACTATGGCCAAAACAAACAAAACAAAACAAAACAAAAAAATGCAATAGCAGAGATTTCCTTCATTTATTAACATTCAGTGTTTCTCTCAGCTGAAAAAAGTAGAAAAATTAACCCCAAAATAATTATGAAATAAATACATAGATGTGTGTGTATTATGGAGTCTCTGTCACCATCTTGTGGCGGAACATCAACCATCAATTTCTTTGCTCTGCTCAATGACACAAGATGTCTTCGCTGCAGTCTGCAATCACAATGACGTACTGGACCAGGTCCAATACGTAGAGGACATTGTACCATCCACTAAGGTAAAGCATATACTACTGTAACAGATGGGTTTAGGGTAGGGGAGGAGTAGGCGATCGTCTACCACATAGTGAACCTAGTCAAGTACGTCATCAAGCTGTGGGCTGCAGCGAGGACCATCTGCAATGACAGCCGACGCGCTGAATCTCAGAAATTCTAAATGTTTTAAAATAGACACTATTCTTATAAATAATCTGCATAATTGCGATCTAAACACCTACATCATCCCCTAAAAAGCCTGAAAAGTACATTGTTGTCCAACAGCTGCAATATTTGTTTTTGTTGGTTGCGGAAGCATAGCAGACCTTGTCATGATCCAGTTACTTCTCTTCAAATGTTATTTGCTTTTGTTTGTTTTTGTAGATCACTGATCAACATAAAATACATAAAAAATAAGATACAAATAATATAAAAATTATATTTTTTCTCTCTCTCCATGCTGGTCCACTACACAGCTGTGCGGTTGGACGATTTGTTTGGCTCCATGGAAAATAAGGATTTAATTCATGCCTCACATAACTGTTGTATCACAAACCTCTTATATATCTGCTGCATTTTTAAAATAAGTAATTATTTTAAAAATTGTACCTTGAGCATCAGATTTTTTTCCTTAGTTTCATTTTCTTGATTTCATTTGTGGTGAGTTAAGGCTAGGGAGTATTTTTATATGTAAAACTGGCCACAGTTTAGTTGTGTTATTAACCTAAATCTGGCTGAATAATATTAAGTTTTCTGAAAGGCTGGTTATTTTACCGGCGATGAAGGACAATATTTTGATGTTTGTGGGGTCACCTTTACAGTAGGCAATAGTTTTGGCCAAATATTAGTTATTGATTCTTTGAGATATTCAGGACCTCATATATCATTTTTAGATAAATACTTTTGAGCCAGATTTGTTGTTTTCTCTATTCTCAATTTACAGTGTCCAGTTTATTTGGCTAGACATCTAAAAATTTTCAAAGTAATATTTCCCAATTCCACACTCCAGAAACTTAGTCTTTTGAGTTGATAAGGCCTGTCAAAATAAATTCTGATAGAAAATATATATTTTTAAATTTAATCCTATTTTCTCTCTATCTTAGGGAATATCGACCAAGAGAAAATGTGACTTATCTTGAGAATGGGACAAAGATTTTTGCCACAAATCCCAAGAGCTTTGTGTTTCTTCGCAACATGTCAGCTGGAGATCCTGAGGTTGACCGTGTGACAACCGTTAATATTCCAATGATTGTAAGAAGGATTTTGTTTGCCTGCTTCTGTAATCACAAGTATATTTTTGCTTTTACATTTATTATGTCTGTTGCTAAAAAAGATTATGCCTCACCCAAATGCTAAGAATTAGTTCTGCATTATTTCTCTCTCTCTCTCTCTCTCTCTCTCTCTCTCTCTCTCTCTGTCTCTCTCTCTCTCTCTCTCTCTCTGTCTCTCTCTCTCTCTCTCTCTCTCTCTCTCTCTCTCTCTCTCTCTCTCTCTCTTTTTTTTTTAGGCAGTGATGAATGAGTTAAACTCCTACTCCTTCTTTGTGAGGACAGCTGTATCTATGTATATGGGGTCCATGGGCATGGGCCTGTTTATGAATCGTACAGTTCATGAGATCCTGTGGGGTTTCAAAGATCCACTTCTGACCAAACTCCACGCCATGAGACCAGAAGTGGATGAGCATTTTGGCCTCATGTACAATGTAAGAAGTCAGTCAAAATGGGTCATATATTTGTGCAACCAATGCAAACGGTGCATAGGCGCTATTGGAGTTGTTCTGTTTTTATTATTATTATTATTATTATTAGGTACCGAGCACCAACGGTGCATAGGCCCTATTGGAATTGCTCCGTTTATTCTTTTTTTTTTCTTCTCCAGAATAAATCACATTTTTGAGGGTCTAAATGTGCTCAAAAACGTACAAAACTTTGCACACACCAGACGTGATAAAAATTTACGTTTGTTAAAGGTTTTAAAGTGACAGGTTTGGGTGTCGCAAAATGACAGTGCCACCTATGCACTATTGATAGAAATGGGCAGTGGTGAGCCCGGGTGTGAGGTTCCTTTCAACGCTGCTTGCAGCTTTAATATATGTGTTATATTTATGACTGATATTAAATATGCTCTGTTTGTGCGATCATAAATATCAGGTCTGTAGCCTAAATTAGCAAGATTAAACTGCACAAAAGAATTATTTTGTCTTTCTCTCTGCACATGTCAGCCAGTCAACCTACCTTCTTGTCATCATTATTCTTATCTCACTCAGATGTCTTTATTCTAAGTTTTGTATTATTTATTTATTTAATTACAATTCCTTTCTGACTATAGAAAAATGGAACCCATGAAGGTGAATTTGTCTTCCACACTGGAGAGAAGAATTACATGAACTATGGCAAGATTGATACGTGGAACGGCATCAGGTACAGTGTTTCTGCATTTTTTTTTTACTGTCATAGTGAGTTCTTGCACACTTACTGTACTTGGCATTGGCTTTTCTACCTTGAAAAATTGGGTTAAACACACAGCTTACTAGCACTGCATGTTAGATAAGTCAAATTGTAAAGTCTAAGAAAAGCTTTCCAGTTCTACACAGATGACCCATATTCAGTAAACACCATTTTAAATCAGATTTGCGTGTACTTTTGCGTGTAGAAAATATGAACTGTCCATTAGATGTATTTAAATCTACCTTATATATTGATAAATATATCGCAGGGTTTCCAGCGAGTCTTAAATTCACATGATCATGGCATTAATTTTATGAGGATTGCTCACTCATGTTTCATTTTAAAGTGAATTCATTGTTAATTTATTCATTTTATTTTTACTTTAAAATATTGTTATAAATATTAATCTGTATGTGACATTATTACAAGAAATATTGCTGTATTGTTTTCCCTAGGATTTTTCCCCCTTACGATATTTAATTGGTATTAAAAAGTCAAATTTACACTTGTATAACCTGCAGAAACCCTCATATGTATATCCCGGTAATTCATTTTATATCACTTTAAAAATAAAGATTATCATGGCGGTCAAAGATGAGAAATGTAATCATTTGATTGCATATTATTAAAAGACTCTAGTGCTGCCCCAAAGTACTAATTAAGTGTGTTTGTTAGCTTGTTTAAAAGTTAGTAATGATTTAAAATGTAGTCAAATGTAGTATGATACCTTGTTATTTTGTACATTTAACATGTACAGGGCAGCATATCCATGTTTCATTTGAATTATCTTCATATTTCAATCTTTTTTTTTATTTTTAATTTTTTTTTATCATTTGAAATATTGTTATAGACAGCTTATTTGCAATTATTACTTTAATTTAAATTCAATTTGCAACTAGCACATTAGTAAGGCTTTTCTTTGCATAAAATTTATGGAGAAAAAAAGCATAACGATTAAGATTTTCACATCTTTAATGGGAATGCTCTAATCACGTTTTGTAATTTTTTTTTTTTTTCATTTGCAGTCAGATGAATTGGTGGTCATCTAACCAGAGCAACATGATCAATGGTACTGATGGCAGTGTCTTCCATACCTTCCTGTCCAGAAAAGAGCTCCTCTACATCTTTGCTGCTGATCTCTGCCGGTACGCAAAGCTTTTAATTTGCTTTATAATTTGTTGGAATTATATTGATTTCGATTCCACTTATCAATTAAAAATTTTAATTAGTAACATGCATATGGTTATTTACCATCTTTATTGGATTTAGATCTATCCATTTGGGTTACGTGAGGGACATGGAAGTGAAGGGCATCCCAGCCTTCCGCTTCGCTCCTCCTTCAGATGTACTAGCTCCTCCAGATGAGAACCCGGCAAATGCTGGCTTCTGCGTGCCTGCTGGAGACTGTCTAGGAAAAGGAGTCCTCAAAGTCAGCGTCTGTCGTCAAGGTAAATCAGTTCTGGGTCACACCTTACCTAAGCAACAGTTTTTACAGTGGGAAAGATGTGGGAAGAAGTCTTTCCCTGAATTAAATGGGAAAAGAGGGAAGCTTTAAAAAAAAAAAATTATCTATTTAGGCACAGCAATCCAAGTGTGGTAAAGATTTTGGTGCCCCTTAAAGCTGGTTCAGACTGATATTCAGTCAAACCAAGGGTGTGTAAATAGTATAGATTTTTTTTTGGTTTCCCATTACTGGTCTCTGGCCTCTTCACCTAAGTTCAAATTAAATCGCTCTGCTTTTGTTTGCTCACTCTTGGACTATGAAAGGGAAATCAGGGTTCAGTGCTTAATGAATAACTTTTAGTGTGATTTTTATGACTGAAGCACTTTATTTGCTGTACGTGTCATCTGAGAGATTAGCCTCTATTGCTTCCGCCATAAACTAGTAGGCTAATATTATTATTTAACTATTGTAAACTTTTGCATTTATGACATGATATATGAACCAGCTGGTGAAATTTGCACATTGTTTGAATAGTCATAATTTCTTCTGGAATTCATGGCAGTTCATAATGGTTGTTTTAGAGCAGGGGTGTCCAAACTTTTTGGGCCGAGGGCCAGATGCAAAAAAACAAACGTTGTCGCGGGCCAAATTTTACATACATCACACAGACACATGTATGTATATATATATATATATATATATATATATATATATATATATATATATATATAAATACAGTTGAAGTCAGAATTGTTAGCCCCCCTAAATTATTAGCCCCGTTTATTTTTTCCCCAATTTCTGTTTAACGGAGAGAAGATTTTTTTTCCACACATTTCTAAACATATTAGTTTTAGTAACTCATTTCTAATAACTGATTTATTTTATCTTTGCCATGATGACAGTAAATAATATTTGACTAGATATTTTTAAGACACTTCTATACAGCTTAAAGTGACATATAAAGGCTTGACTAGGTTAATCAAGTTAACTAGTTAAGTTAAGGTAATTAGGCAAGTTATTTTATAACAATGGTTTGTTCTGAAGACTTAAGGGGCTAATAATTTTGACCTTAAAATGGTTCATAAAAAAATTTAAACCGCTTTTTATTCTAGCCGAAATAAAACAAGTCTTTCTCCAAAAGAAAAAATATTATCAGACATACGGTAAAAATGTTCTTGCTCTGTTAAACATCATTTGGGAAATATTTAAAAAAGAAGAAATAAATCAAAGAGGGGCTAATAATTCAGACTTCAACTGTGTAGATAGATAGATAGATAGATAGATAGATAGATAGATAGATAGATAGATAGATAGATAGATAGATAGATAGATAGATAGATAGATAGATAGATAGATAGATAGATAGATAGATAGATAGATAGATAGATAGATAGATAGATAGATAGATAGATAGATAGATAGATAGATAGATAGATAGATAGATAGATAGATAGATAGATAGATAGATAGATAGATAGATAGATAGATAGATAGATAGATAGATAGATAGATAGATAGATAGATAGATAGATAGATAGATAGATAGATAGATAGATAGATAGATAGATAGATAGATAGATAGATCGATCGATCGATCGATCGATCATAACAAGAACTGCTGCTTAATTGAATGCATGTATTAGCGACACCCGGTGGTTATTTATTGAATTATGTTCATTTTTATATAGCGGGCCAGATTCTATTGATATTTATAAAAAGCCTCGCGGGCCGCCACAAAACTGATTGCGGGCCGCAGATGGCCCGCGGGCCGTAGTTTGGACATGCCTGTTTTAGAGTGTCAAACTTGAGGCCTGCTAGAGCATATCATTCACACCAAAAGTAAATTCTAGTATTCATGTATTTTGCTTCTAATCAATGCAAACTGGGAGGCGCAAATGACTTTGAATCCGCATTGTGTTTGCCACAAATGCGCAGAATTAGATTTAATTGCGTCTTTTGTGCAAGTTCAAGTTACAGGGCTGAAAATTCACATGGGGATAAAAGCATCTTCCACATCTCCCATATTGCACGTTTGCAGTGTTTTATTTTTTATAGTTCTGCATCTCTCAAATGTGACAATTTTGGAGAAAGATAAGGATTATGATGATATTTGTCTTTTATTTACGTTTTTTAACCTAGTAAGGTACTTGTGTTCAATTTGTGTTGATGGAAAACATTCAATACAATTTTAATAAACAGAAAAAATCAAGAGAAACATAAAAGATTTATAATTTAGTTGGCTTTTTGTATTTTGTGTTTGCACTAACTTTTTTTTTTATTTAAATTTTAATGTAAAGTATTTTTCTATACCCAACTATGTTGGGTGACTAAACTCATATTTTAATAGAACTATTCAATAAAGTTTAATTAAATTTTAAATTTTAATTTAAATTAAAAATTGTTTATTGCATTAAAAAGTTGATATATTCATTGAGAATATAATTCCTTTTGTAAATGAGGAGTACTCATTAACAATAAACAAAGTATTTATTTGTTACTTTAATGTGTTATGTAATTGCACACTTGCGGTTTTAATCTGACTTACTAGCCTTGTTTGATCAGCAGAAAAAAAAAATTGAAATTACTTTAATGATTTCATTATCTTTATGGCCAGCCAATTGTCTTTATGATCATTCAATAAAGATGATGATTAAGAGCTTTCCTAGATAGGTGCTGATGTGATTGTCGACTAATCTAAATAAAGGAACTAATGTGTTTTTCTATTTCCCTTTCCCTACAGGTGCACCCATTGTTGTGTCATTCCCTCATTTCTACCAAGCTGATGAGAGGTACATCAATGCCATTGAAGGGATGAATCCAAATGAGGAGGAACATGAAACATACCTCGACATCAACCCGGTAAGCATTGCGGGTGTTTTGGGATTTCAATTTTAAATTTACAGCAGTGCTCTGTGTTTGTGCTTTTTAATCTAAAAGTAACAAGTAGTTGTGTAAGAATAGGGTAATTCCCACTCAACCACAATGAATGTGAAATCAAACCCACTAAACTTTCCCTACAATCCCATTGATAGTTGGTTTAGTATGTTGTATTGGAGAATTTACTCATTAAGTTGGTGTGATAGACTTATTTTGGGTTGATATAATTAAAGTCTGTGTTTAATGTAAGCAAATGTTGGTTAATATTTAATTGTAAATTGTCTCTTTTTTTCTCCAGACCACAGGGGTTCCTATTCGAGCTTGTAAGAGAGCTCAACTCAATATCATACTGAAGAGAGTGCGTGGCTTCCCGTGAGTAAAATGCTTCACTAAAATAATTTAAAATGTTTTGAAATTAAACTAAAAACTAATTGAGTTCTTTTTCCTTTTCAGTAACACAAAATTTCTCAATGAGACTATTTTCCCCATTATGTACGTCAATGAGGTGAGTTTTCCTTGATTCATCGTAGGTTCGTAGGTTTTCTGTTTACTGCAGTAGCACGGTCAGAATCTTTTGAAGCAAGTGAACATTGATAAAATAGAGTAAACCTTGTTGCTTTACACTAGAGATGAAAACAGGGAAGCAAAGTTTAACCAATAAAATGCGAATTATATACTTTTTATTTTTTGTCAAACTGTAAAAGGTCAAAAATAAGGACTTGAAAAGTAAGAAGAAAAATGCAAAAACTTTACTTTAAAATGTGATCTGTTAAACATCTCAATTAGCGTAATAAAAAACAAAACTGTTTTAGGTAGGGACCAGACAATACCAAGGACATGTGAACTGTATATTTTTCATTACATCTGTTTTTATTTTTATTTTTTGTATTTTGGTTTGTAGGTCCCTATAGTTGGTAACATGCGTTAATGTAGACAATATGGTTTCAATTCAAACATTAGAAACTAGATCTTTAGTGCGGTGGGTGTTGCAATGGCTTGGGATAATTAGTAAGGACAGTATTACAGAGTGGGCAGGTTTGAATTGGTTATTCACCCAGATTGAAAGGTATACCGTTTACCAGTCTCTGTAGAGTAAAAGCATACAATTGAAAGATCAGCGCTCATTTAACACTATCTTATTACTTAAGTGGGCCTAGTTAATTTTTGTTGCATTGTTTCAGAAAGTTTGCTTCACACCTCATTTCTTTTTATACTTTTTACATTTTTCCAGACAGCAACTATTGATGATGAGTCTGCAGCCCAGATGAGGATGCTCCTGTTAATTGTAACAGTGGTATCCAACTTTCCAGTCATCATTTTGGCATTGGGGGTGATTTTACTTGTAGTCCTTATATTCCTCGTCTGCAGAAACCGCCAGAGAAAGGTAAAAATACATATAATATATATATATATATACACATAGAGAGAGAGAGAGCAAGAGCTTATTTCACTTATAGCTCAACAATTGTTGTTTTGCACATAAAAACAATATTAATGGTGCGAGTTAATATTATTTAGAAGATTATTTTGCAGATTTAGAAGATTATTTTGCAGATTGGAAAAGACTACAAGGTTTTTACAATTCTATCAACCATACTCGCACTTGGCTTAAATAATTAGTTCACCCTAAAATTAAAATGGTTCAAATGAATCAACCTCGTGCTATTCCAATCCACCGACACAAATTAAGATGTGAAAGATAAAATCTGAATATTCAGCAATGGTTTTGACAAAAAGCATCCTCAAAACAAACCAACAATCAGAATATTATCAAGGTTCCAGAATACCTTTTAAATGCACATAAAACAGAAATAATAACTTTTCTTTATTAAATGATGCTCTTTGTGCATGTCATGCTCGGCCGTGTTACTGACAAATACCTCAGACGTGCCAAGGCTTTGTTTCAAACAGGAAGTTGTGCTTGGACATCTGGGGTATACACCAGTTCACAGTGCTGGAGAATGCGTGCCTTATATTCACACTGAGAAGAAGAAAATCTTTCTTTTTGTTTTATGTGTGCACAAAAATCTTGTCGTTGCTTCATAATATTCTAATTGAAACACGTAAACTGCTTTTGAACATGTCTAGACCATTGCTGTCTGTTGAGGATCGGGAACTTTCAAAATTCATCTTGTTTTGTGCATTCTATTATACTTGTCGCTTGCTCTAATGGAAGATTCTAGCTTTGAGACCAATCTGCATGAGGGTATGCATGTGTTTTAGTGCACACATTATTTTATGACTTGGGTTCCTGTATTATAATATACCATTTTCTTTGCAACATATTGTAATTATCAGTTGAATTGCCTTGGTCAGCCTATTGCTTTAACAAGGAATATGTTTTTGTTCATTTATGTACTAATATTCAAGAGTTATTTTATAGCATTTATTTCATCAGTCTGCCAATGATGCATATTGCTGTTATGTTTTGATTTCTAGTAACATTTTCCTCCCCTTTTTTTTTGTTCCACTTCAGAATGAAGTAAAACGTATTGATTTTACTGAAGCTTTTCATTCTTTTGCTGTAAGTCTTAATTTTTCCCTTATACACACACACACACACACATATATATTTTATATATTTTGCTGTCATTATATTCAGATTTGCCTGTTCTGTAATGCTCTTTAGTGAAATAGTTTCATTATAATGTCCTTGTTTGTTGTTTTAAAAGAATGTAAAGCTTTCTTTTATTGCTGCTTCTGCATGGCCATCATGATGTATAGCGTTTTATAATATTTGTAGCTACATACTGTATGGTTTTAACACTGTTCCTGTATGTTCTGCATAGACAACAAAAGATGAAACTGCTTATACCCAAGTGAGCAACCAAGCAGAGGATTCACCAGAGAACCGCAACAATCAGCCATTGAGGAATGGATCATATATTGCCATGTCACCAGTGGAGGCACAAAAGTGTTGATGAAGATGACCGATGAACTTTCGCCTGAGGACATTATGTCTATTCTCACCATTTTTTAATGTGTTTTACTTTTCATCGCAGCAGTCTTCTTTGGGGGCCAGTCACCACCTTTGGCTGAGGGTCACGCATTTTACTAAAGACTTTTTTCTTTTGTGTTTGTTTGTTTCCTTGAGCATGGCCTTCTCAAACTGCCATATCAAAGCACCCAATTCAGTTTTGTAGAACCAACTCTGGGTTTCCAGAGGCTTCCGTTGCCTATTCCTCAGAGGCCTGAAACACACTCTTGCCTTTTTGAAAACACAAATATGCATTGCATGTTCACAGAGTCGTACACCCTCTGAGCATGAGTGTTCTAGATGGGTGAAAATACTGGGACCGCCTGTGCTCTTAAAGTGTTTCAAATCTCTTCTCACACTACTGTATACTGGTCAGCACAGGCAGACCTTGAACTAACACATCTCTTCATATGTCAAACCCTTTGATAATGAGCAGACAAATGCAAACTGTTGATTTCTCACCTCTAGAGTATTAGGGAGCTAAAAGGTCTAATATGCTTACAAAAACTGGGTCTTATCCAGGACTTTTGTGTGTGTGTGTGTGTGTGTGTGTGTGAAAGAGAGAGATTGCACATATGAGTGTGTTTGTAATTATATGTGAGTATTTCAGCAAGCATGTCGGTGCTTGCATGCTTTTGTCACATTGTGGTGAACTGCTCTGTTGGCTCACTGTTTAAACGACACAGTGTGACAGCAAGTGGAAAAAAATAGTGACAGTCCTTTCCATTTCACAGTGTCTGAAGTACATTCATTGGGATGTCAGAAACATTTCAGCTGTTACAAAAGGTCAGAAAGTCATTGTATTGCATAAATCGCTTAGTATTTTATAATGAACAAACAACACTCACAAGTGAGACTTGAATAATTCTGCCTTACAAATACTTAAGAACATAATGCGGTTCTGCTGCATGGCATTGGCAGGTGGAACTAGATGAATTGCCAACGAAACACGTCTGTTCTGTGATAGTGAGAGCACAAATATAGTATGCAGATCCCATGGTCTAATCGTAGCAGAAGGGGTTAAAGGTCAGCGAGTTTTGAGCAGTAAAGTTTTGCACAATTCTTTTCTGTGCAAGTCCAATTTATAATAACCCTCTGTGGGTGAAAGACCTAGCACTTGAATCACTACTTGTGTCTATTGCTTTTTTGTCCTTGATGTTCGTCGCCTTAAATGAATTGAGGCCATGTTTTAAGTCAACTAGAACAGGATGTATTAACTGCATACTTCACAAAATATTACTAAGGATGAGTGATCACATGTTGTCCAAATGGATGATTCCGTCTGAAGTTGACATAACTTTTGTGTATGTATGGATCTCTAAATTATTCTAGTTTTGGTGGAAAATTCTGGAATGATCGACCTTTGTTACTTTATGTAAATCATCTGTTACCTACTGTGACCACGGTTTTGGTGGCTTGCAGTGCACATTGTTGCGTATTTGCCTGTGCCATGATTTTGCTTATCCTAAAGATTTAGTTTTAAACTGGAAACACAGCATTTGCAGTGTCTTATGCAGCTAAACTAAAAACTGAGGGAAAGTTGTTCAAGTTTTTGTGGAGTTTACTAGTCCATTACATTGACTCTCAGCGAGTAACACATTTTTCAGCCAAATTAGTATATGCATTTACATCAAAATGGTCTTTTCAGTTCTGAGACTGACAAAGACACACTGGACCATTGAGTTATAAGGTGGTTAAATGTAACGTGAGTTTAGTATGAACGATTTGTTAACCTGAGCCATTTCTGTACAGTTTTCTGTCCAGATTCCTTTATAGTGACTTTTGCCCCTGTGCGCTTGACCAAAGATTACACTGGGTTGGTAGATAACTGGTTTGTTTGCTTTCCTCACAGCTGTAGTGCCGTTGATTTTACCATTTACACAAGCATTAGAACCTCATTGCTTACAAGGGCAATTAAGTAAATTAAAAAAATCTGAAAATATTTTCCTTAGTGTATTATGTGAGTTCATAATGTTTAATAACGCAGAGAAAATAAAAAGTTGCCACAGTGTGCAAAGAAACTCTCAGTATTATGTATTTACACAGCAATACAATATGTAAAAAGCAAATTTTATAATGAAGTAAAAAGGTTTTGTAATCAGACAGACAAATATTTATGTATATATTTGTGCATTTTCTGAATTTATGACTTATTTTTTAGTCTTTTTCATTTATTATTTTTTTTGTATTATTTTGGAATATTATAAAATGGGGTCATCAAGGACATTTCGCTTTATTTAAAACAAACAAAAAAAAAACTTATGTAGTACCAAGTGAATATTGTTCTAAATTCAAGAAGGAATGATGTATGTGCTTTGTAAAAACTTTGATGACAAAAGGCCTATGTTGTATGTGTTGGGTGTGAGCCTATGATGTGCAGTGATCTCCTGTTATACAGCTCAAATGGTCAACACTGTTTGTCCAACTGGAAAAACAAAGGGAAGGCTGAGTGTCTTTGAGTTCCTTATGGATAGATTGCCATAGTGCCATGTTGGGTACAAGGGAAATTTCCATTTGCAATCTAATCTTTTTTTTCTTAGATGAATGATGCCCTCCTTCAGGAATGAACTTTTAGTGCCATGCCATTGTTGTTTATTTCACTTGCTTTAGTAGCAACATGTTTAAGCTGTGTACAGTTTTTGTTTTCTTCTCATGTCAAGCCTACATTTTAGAGCTGCAATTACAAACAAAATTCTGCATTACATCTTTGAGGGTGGTCTTAAAACACTGAATATCTCACAATGTCCTCTTGAGATGCATTGCATTTTTTTTCTTCTTTTTTTTTCTTTTTGTTTTGCTGCTGCTGAGAGTGACAATCCCTATGTCATGTTAGGTGCAAAATCATTTCAAATATATAAATATATAATTTTTTTAGTTTTGATAATTTACACTGCACAAACTTTCTACAATGCTTTTGTAAACATTTTTAGTGTTATTTGCAAAAAATAAAAATAAAGTTGAAATTCTCATCACATGTCTGCTTTCCTCTTTGTTGTTGTGTGTAAATACAGATTTCAGAATTTTCAGACCAAGTAATTTCTTAAATGTATAAAGCTGTATTTTAGGTTTATTTTGTTTCATATTAATTTTACTTTTTTTTTATTCTGAACCATGCATGTTCAAATTATGAATATGTTTTATAGAATTAGTGAATAGTTATAAGTCTCAAGCTCAAGGCTCCATTCATTAGTCTGAAAAATGAAGTAAATCAGTAATCTATAATGTTAAACAGTAAACTATAGTAAAATCATTCCAATAAATTCTTAAGACTCACGGGACACTGAAGTCTAGAATGCTAAAAATTCATCAAATGAATAAGAATATTAATTTTGCTTTGGCTTAGTCACTGTTTCAGAGGTCATCACAGCAGAATGAACCTCCAACTATACGCAGCCGCAAACCAGTACTGAGAAACACTCTACCCTCATTCACACACACTTCATACTCCTACACTACGCCAGATTAGTTTTTTCAATTCACCTTTTGCACATCTTTGGACTGCGGGGAAAACTGGAGCACCCGGAAGAAACCATTCAAAGTACATACCATGCTCCAGAAAAGAAATGTAAAACAAGTATTTAACTTTGCTCATCCTCAGTTCTGAAATATTCAAGTAAGCTTTTTTATTCATAAGGTTTTAACTGAATCTGTGATCCTCTGTAATTAATGAAACGCTAAAAATGGCTACTGGCACCAAGGACCCAGTTTCAGATTTAAAAAAAATCTTCTTGAATGTTCTACTGATTTTAATAAAATGAAAGACAGATAATATATGACCCTGCACCACAAAACCAGTCATAATTGTCAGTCTTTTTAAAACAGATTTTTCAACATCCACACCTGTGGCCTGTTTCAGTAAGGAGATTCAACCAACTCAGAGTTTAAACTCTGAAGTTGATTTATTGAGACTGAGAGATTAAAGACTCAAGAGTTTTCGATTTCAGAATAGCTGATCTGAGTTAGGTCAAACAACTCTGAGTAGACCAACTGAGTTAGGCGCACAAACTGTGAGTATATAAAGGTATTAACAATGGAGTGCAGATATTATGAGTGAGCATGGCAACATCTGTAAAAAAGAGATCAGCATTTCTTTCTTCAGCTGAACTTGATATGCTTGTGCAAAGATATAGCAAATATGACCATATATTTTAAAAAGCAACACCACTGCATCTGTGAAACAGACAGTTAGCATGGGAAAACAGCTTAAGTTAATGCGTAATTTTCTAAACTATTTAAATATATTAGTATAATAAAAAAAAGTTATGTAATGACGTTTATAAACTTTTAACACACGTTTCCACTTTTGTACACATTGATCAGTTTTATTAGATTTAAAGTGCACTTGAGTCCCTGCTTCTATCAAGTGATAGAGGTTGATATGACATTAAGAATGTAAGCAGATCTAAAAAAAATTGCTTTAGAACGTATGATAATTCCATGATGCAGTGATGCTGTGATGCCATGATTCCAATGATGCAGTGGCACAGTAGGTAGTGCTGTCGCCTCACAGTAAGAAGGTCGCTGGGTCGAGGCTTGGCTCAGTTGGCGTTTCTGTGTGGAGTTTGCATGTTCTCCCTGCATTCGCATGGGTTTCCTCCGGGTGCTCCGGTTTCCCCCACAGTCCAAAGACATGTGGAACAGGTGAATTGGGTAGGCTAAATTGTTCGTAGTGTATGAGTGTATGTGTGAATGAGTGTGTGTGGATGTTTCCCATAGATGGGTTGCAGCTGGAAGAGCATCCGCTGAGTAAAAAACGTGCTGGATAAGTTGGTGGTTCATTCCGCTGTGGTGACCTCAGGTTAATAAAGGGACTAAGCCGACAAGAAAATTAATAAATGAATAAATTATTCCATTAATCTAGTTACAGTACATGTCAAAGGACAGTCAATTTAGGCTAATTGTTTAATTAAAAAAGGACAGGCCATTCTCGTATGTGACGTTGTTCTTTGTGTGACTGAAATGTAGGCAATAGCTGTTTCCAACAAAAAAATATTAATTCAATTTATGTGCAAATTTGGAATATTGCATAAAAGATATGCTAATAAAGCAGAGTTTCCATGCATTGAATCAAAAAGAACAAAATTTTCACTTCCTGATTAACTGGCACCAAATATCAACGTAAAAAACTGAATTTACTGCGGCACAAGAAGCTGCGTGAATCTTTTTTTTAATTAATAAATTTTGCACCTCAGAAGACAATGCTGACACACAATAAACAAGTGGGAGTCTTTGAAGCCATGGAAATATATATATATATATATATATATATATATATATATATATATATATATATATATATATATATATATATATATATATATATATATATATATATATATATATATACACATACATACAGGGAATATATTTGTGTTTAAATTGACAATATGAAAAGCTGTTTACTTTGGCTTTAGCCTATATAGGTTCTGTTTAGAACATGATGTTATCTGTTCTGACATACTGGGTGAAAGCATTGGTAAATTTGACTGCGAAATTACATAGTTTTGGTTTTGGTTGAGTTTGTGTGTAAAAGAAGTTCAAGCATTTTAAATTTGTGTTAACTGGATGCATTTTGTGTCAAAGCAACAAGAAATGTGTTAATTGTATAGCCCACGAAGACGGATGTTGTGCTAACCGTGTTAAGAGTTTAGGAAACTTGTTAAATGTATTGAAAAAAGTGTCATAGCAATTGTAAAAAAGACTGTTAAGTCTTGCCTGTATTGTTTGTGACATTATAGCTTAGAAATACAACAAAATACATTTCTGTCTGTCTCTGTTGTCAAGTTTATTTATAATTTAGTCTTTATCCACAACAGATTTTATGAGCAAAACAGGTCAACTCTGATGGGTTTATATTCATGGTCCCTGGACCTTCTAGGGACATTATATAGATTAATAAATGAGGGTATAAAACTGTTTTTTCGCTTACCTAAGCCACATACGTACTATGTAGATGTTAGAGACTAATTTAACTTATTGAACCAATGCAGTATATGGTAATAATTAATAATAATAATAATAATCTGGCTTTGGCTGATACACTCCTGCTGATTGACAATCATTCCGGTGACACTCTTTTGTTATCTGGGCTGAAGGTCTAACTGGTTCAGTAGGTACAGGTGAGTCAGACAA